TACCATATTGACCCGCGTTACTCCTAATCTGTTTAAGAACTCGAAATCACGTGGTCCTACTGTTGGATTCTTGCCGNGAAAAGAACACAATATGCACATATAGCAAAGTGTGACAAAGACGCATTTAAATCAGTCGTAGTAACTTAGCAGCATCAAACATTAATTTTTCTACAGTTGGCAGGCCTAGGTAGTGAACGGTACCTCGACGTGAAAAGGGGGCGTGGTTTCGAAGTTTTGAGCTCACCATGTAATGTTTCCACCATGGTTCCTACGTACGGCGCGGCGCGGGTGGAAGAAAAGCTGAGAGAGGGGAGATAGTCGATGGGACGCGTCACTGCGCGCGTCATCTCGGGAAGTATTCCGCGGTGAGACAGATCGTTCCGTTTCGCTTTACCCTCCAAAAATCTCTCTCTCTCTCTCTCTCTCTCGTTCTTTTTCGATTCGCGTAGCAAAAAGCGCGTCAAACGCGGAACGAGGTCGATTTGAGCGCCCCGAGAGCCGGTTGTCAAGAGTTATGACAGTGCGCGATTCGCTAGACGACGCACGAGTGTCGATAGAAAGGAAGAGTTATCAATGTTACGAGGAACGGTCTCGATAAACAGTGACGTATTCAGGACGACTGGTGAAGTGACTGTGACTTGGCGTGGTCGTTATCATCCGCGAGTGCTCCGCGTAAGATCGAGTCTGTCGTGATTGAGGACGATGCAATCGTCCGATCGCGGTTTGATTTTCCCGTTCGCTTCCCGACGGAGGACGGAATCCCGTCTCGAGAATCGAGAACCAAGTTGCCTTCCTGGCACGGATGGTTCGCGCAGTTGACGCGTTCGTCGGCGCGAAGAGTCGAAGAAGAGGAGGTTATACAGGTCGTTGGAGCGGACTAGAGCGAGCCGGAGCGGAGCGTGAATGCGTTTCAAGGGGCGAGCACGTTACCGTCGTCGCCGTCGTGGTCGTCGTCGTCGCCGTCGCCGGCCGCCGTGCCGAGGGAACGATAGTAGCGATGCTCGATCAGTAGGGCGGGTCGCGTGACTCGACGTGGGCGAAGACCCGACTCTCTCGTGATGCGTCCACACGAGGGTGCCCGGTCGAGGCGAGAAATAGCGGAAAGGAAGCGGGGCAGAAGGGCAGAGGACACACCGGCACGCTAAACGCCGGCTAACCGTCGCCGCGGTGTGGCCTATAAAGCCCTCGCTCGTTTTTTTGGAAAATGAACTCCATGCTATATACTCTCTACGGGTTCGCGATATTTTTCATGATATTCTGGCTAGGTATGTGGGTGGTGCACGTTCTGGCGTTGATCGCCGGCCGTTGGAAGCTGCACCGGAAGACGAATCAGGCGCCGAGTTACGAGACGCCGTTGCCGGGGGTGTCGGTGATAAAGCCCCTGATGGGGGTCGACCCGAATCTTTTCGGCAACCTCGAGACCTTCTTCACCATGGAGTATCCCCGATACGAGCTCCTGTTCTGCGTCGAGGACGACTCCGATCCCGTGCTGATGCTGGTACGCAAGCTCATCGAGAAGTATCCGGAGGTCGAGGCCACGCTCTTCGTCGGCGGTTGCAAGGTCGGAGTGAATCCAAAGATCAACAATATGCAGCCGGCGTACGAGACCGCCAAGTACGAGCTTGTTCTGATCAGCGACAGTGGCATACGGATGAAGGAGGACACTCTGTTGGACATGGTTCATCATATGACAGACAGGGTGGCTCTGGTACATCAGATGCCGTTCACCTGCGACCGCGAGGGTTTCGCCGCCGCGTACGAAAAGATCTTCTTCGGTACGGTGCAGTCGCGGATGTACCTGGCCGCAGATATGCTCAGGATAAACTGTCACACCGGCATGTCGGCTCTCCTGAGAAAATCCACGTTGGACGAGGTCGGTGGTCTGAAAGCGTTCGGCATCTATCTCGCGGAGGACTTTTTTTACGCGAAATCACTGACCGACCATGGCTGGCGCATCACCATCTCCTCGCAGCCGGCCTTACAAAACAGCGGCCACTGCGCGGTCGATTCCTTCCAGGCGCGACTACGACGGTGGGCCAAGCTGAGGGTGGCGATGTTGCCTACCACCATTGTTTTCGAACCGCTGAGCGAGTGCCTCGTTCTGGGCGGATTTGCTTCCTGGGCGGCCAGCGTCCTCTTCGAATGGGATTCTCTAGTTTTCTATCTCGTGCACATACTTTTGTGGTTTATGTTCGACTGGACGCTACTGTGCGTAGTGCAGAACGGTCCGCTGCCTTTCAACAAACTTGAGTTTGTGTGCGGTTGGTTACTCAGCGAGATCACGAGACCGTATCTTTTTCTTCAGGCTGTCCTGGATCCTCTCATACAGTGGCGTTCACGTGTTTACAAGCTCAAATGGGGCGGCGTCGCGGAGGAAATTAAAGCAAAAGTCAAATATTAAAAATTCATGAGTAAATGCGTGTGTGTGCGTGTGCGTGTGTGTGCGTGTGTGTGTGTGTGCGTGTGTGTGTGGGTGTGTGTGTGTGTGCGTGCGTGCGTGCGTGCGTATGCGTGCGTGCGTGCGAGCGCGCGGGTGAGCCTATCGTGTACGTGTCAAAGTAGACGAGAGAAAAATAGAGACAGCGTTCTTTTTTTTTTTTTTTTTTCAACTAATAAGTATGCGAGGTGTTCTAATCATCATAAGATGTTCTAATCTCCTTCTTAGTTAATCTTTTGATAAAATTGATAATCTTTCAATTTATAATTGAATGCAAGATGATAACATATTTTAGCAGATTATGCTAAATGTAAATTAACTCATATTAATTTTTGTTTTACAAAGAAAATTGTTTTAATAAAATTTTAATTTCTTACTAATAAGGTTCCTAGGTATTTCTCGATTTAAATAAAGCTTGTTGAGGTTGTGTAGAGAATAAATAAAAATATTTGAATATGTATTCTTTTATCGGCAACCAAACATGCTTAAGATTTAATCTGTCTTCGAAAATTAGTAAAATTTTCGTTTTCAGTTACAACTTCTAAATAAAACATGATAGCATAATTTCGTAGATATATGTATGTACAGAATTTGAAAATGTTACTGTACGTTGGATTGCGAGGCCTTTGCGCGAACCATTCCCGAGCATAAGCCTTTTTATGATTGGCGATTTGCAATTTTGAGCGCAGTTAAGTAAAATATATTTTTAGTTATTCTTAACATATAGGAACAAAACTGCATTATCACATTTTTCTAAAAAGAAAATTTTTTTTTATTAGAAAAAGTTTCATGTTTAGTGAAAAAAATATCAAAATTGAATTTCATAACTTGTATTTTTTTGTATAAAATTCCGTATATTTTGTACAGAATTCTGTACATTTACGAAATCATGCTTTATTCAGAAGTTACGAGAAACAAAAATTTATCTGATTTTTAAAGACTGATTTCATCCCTGAAATAAGTTTAATTGTCGATAAGGAAATATGTATTTCATATTTTTATTGCCTTTACAAACTCAAGCTTTTTTAAAATTGGAGAGGAATACCTGAGAGTCTTTTCTTGTAAATTATTAAAATATTGAGAATGAATAAATTTTAAATGAGTATTGTATTCTTTCTTTCTAATTTTTTTACAAAGACGATATCATGCTTTAAAATTCAATGAATTCGTATTTTATGATGTTAGTTTTGAAATTTAAAGAGACATGTATAACACGACAAATACCTTTTATTTTAAATTCTCTTTATTTTGGGAAAAACTATCCTTCCGTAAATTTCTGGAATTTTTTCTAGAATTCTTTCATCATACTATTCTCTCATTGCAATAATGTTGATAGCGCTGCCCGAACGTAGCCATGTTCAAGTAAACATGCATTCTTTAAGAAAACATTTGAAAAGACATGCAATGACATTTTCATTTTGTATGTGTATATTAGAACAAAAGTGAAGATTGAAGAGAAATTCCAGAATAATGAAAACCGATCTTTCTAGAATATATAAAAGGCTTTTACTGTTTTATAAAACAATGCTTGGAACACCTCGTTTAATGTATTTAAGAGTTTCTCGAGTAAAAATTTGAATATTGTCCGCCATTTTCTGACTATGATGCATTTTTTTAAAAACATTCAAGTTGGTTTAATAACAGACCTTATTATTAAAAAATGAATTTAATTCACACAACAATTTATATATACGTATAAATATTATTAGTATTATAATAAGTAAATCTTTCTCTCTGTGTAAAATAAGTAATAGAAGATAAATTTCTTCGTAACCTAAAACATATATGATGGATTAAACATTTGGACAGTTAGCTTATAATATAATATGACATTAACTTTATGATTTATTATTATCTTAGTATTCGCAGGTATATACATATATCACATTACATATATATAGTGTAATGCGATAATATTTAATACTCTTACTTGAGGAACTCTTAACTTGGAATACTATTTCATCATCATTGTATGAATCTTTTTTCAAGCATGTTGATTGGCTACAGGACAAAGAATTTCTGAAGATTCGAGAATCTTTTTGTAGCCAATCAACACGTTTGAAAAAATTTATCGTACGATAAATGTGAAATAGTATCTTTACACTCTTTGTAATTTTACGATTATCGATACATGTTTTTAAACTTATTACGCAGATCAATTCGTCCAACCCTATTTTTTTTTATATTTTATATAATATAAAATTGTGTTAAGCAAATGAATAAATCGTTGATGCCGTCTATGTTTTAAGTTTTGCTAATAACAATGCTGAATATAAATTCAGAAAATATTGAAACAAGACGGATAAGATATAAGTTGTATGTATATATTTGATAATATTACCAAATATATACATAAAAAATAGAAAATTTGAAATTTGAATTTTTATTCGGAAAAAAATTAAATTAGCCGAATTGATCCGCCGAACACGATATATTGCGTTAAGAGAAACCAATAAGAGAAACGTTTGACACGTATTATTTTCATTAAGTATGCTCAATATGGTGCAATGTTTTTTGTAAAAGCTATTTATTTACATGGTAGAACCTCTCTACTCTTATATTATCTTGTATTTTATATATTTTTTACATTTTTTTAAAACACAGTCTTTTATATAGATTACTTTGATTATTAACATTTATGAAAAATCAATGCCAAATATAAGTAATAGGAATGGCAGCCATATTTAAAAAAGCCAAATTTATTTAGTATTTAAATTTATCTTAATTATTATCATCGATGAAGTACTGCTAGAAACGATCAATTCAGAGTAAATTTTTTTAACTGATTTCTATTTCGTATTTTACAGGATATCAGATAATAAGTGTAGCATCTTTCATGAATACGTAGAACGAGTTAAACTGATAAATAAAAAAGTTCTTCTTTGCATTTTTCATAACAATAAAGAGAAATTAATACAGATATGCAAATATGAGTAGGCATCCGGTTCAACAGTGAAAATGGTAAGCGCGCGAAGAAAAGACAGTTCAGTTACGAATTGTTCGCAGTTGCTACGAGCATGGTGAGACATTGGGGAAGAAGTGCGTATCTAACAACCGCGAATAATGCGTAACGCTGAGCTGTTTTTTTGCTTCCAAATTGTGGATGAATGCTCATTTGCAAATCTTTATTAATTTCTTCTCATTAATTATTGCGAAAACGAAAAAAAAAACGGAAAGGATTTTTTAGTTTAACCAACTTTATTTGCCTACGAAAGGGGTTATATTTATTACTAGATACCTTATAGATACCTAATAGATATCTAATTAGCTGCAGTAATAAATTCACTATAATTTATTATTACAAGAATATTATTACATAAATTCTTTATAGATGAATACATATATTTATGACGTAATAATATCATCCTATACTGCTATGAAATTTTTTGTACATTTTTTTTCTACAGTTACCATTAACATAAATAATTGGATAACAGTATAGTATACTGTTAGATAACAGTATAATTGGATAGAAGTATAGTTAAATAAAAATCGAAACAGTTAGCTTATATAATAATATAATATTAACTTTATAATTTATTATTAGCTTGGCGTTCGTGGGTACATACATATATCGTATATATGAAATGCGATATATGTATGTACCTACAAACACCAAACTAATAATAAATCATAAAGTTAATGTTATATTATAAGCTAACTATCCAAATTTTAGTCACGGAAACTTTTATAAAATGTAAATTAATAGTACATGGCAAGAAGCCAATCTAGATCTTACTGCTAACTATAATTATATTATTACAATAATAATTACATACGGTAATTACATACGGTAATTTACTACCAAACAATCAACATCACAAATTGACATCAATCCCTCCTCAGTGGTCTATTACTTATTTCTTAAAAACGTGTGTCGCATCTTTATGTTACATGAAAAATGAGAGATGTTCCCTTAGATTTGTCGCATTAGTCCAATGAAATCAATTTTATTCTATTAGTCGAGAACGGTTAGAATTCTGACATATGTCAGAATTTAGTCCGTGAATTTTATTCTACGATTAAGCCTTGCTATTTGGAAATGGAGGAAATGGAATGCTACTTGGAAATAATGGTAGGATAAAGATCGGAAATTCGAACTTAGAATCATGAATTGATTACAATAAGCCAATGAGACATACTTCGCCTCAATAAGTGTACGAGGATCCGATAGAAAGCGATAAATGATTTTTACTCTTCTGTGATGGTTATGCGATTACAAAGCAAGAAACAATTTTAGTGGACTACGTTTTTATAAGAAATTGTAATGGACTACTGAGAAGGACTTGATATCGAGCCGAAATGATCGTTTGGTAGTAAATTACCGTATGTAATTATTATTGTAATAATATAATTAGTTAGCACTAAGATCTAGCTTGGTGTCTTGCCTACTATTATTAATTTAAATTTTAATTCTCGGAGTTTGAGTCACTTATTGTTTTAATTTTATAAAATGGTTAGTTTATAATAATATTTTTTGTTATTATTGATAGATATAACAAAGCATTCAAACAATTTTCTGTTACTAAATATTAATGTAAGTTTTTAAATCATATTTATAATCGATATGTAGCTTGTGTTTGGGTACCAAAGTAGACTTCATTAAGTTTTCTGATTTACAAACATTTAATTAAAATTGAAAAATTACATTTTAATAAATCACAATAAATATGTAATAAAATTTAACAGATAATAAAATAACAGAAAAATCATAACTTTATATAGAGATATGTAGAATATTAAAAAAAGGATTTTAAATTTTCAGAGTTTAGTTTTTTATTTCTTTTTGTAAATACATATGTTATTAAAATCATTAACTTCTACACTTCTCAACAAAATTAAAGCATCACTTATTCTACCCTCCAAAAATAGGTAAAATTCAAGAAAATGTAACTTCGTCAAAAATGATCGTATCGAGATGTTCAAAAAAGCATTTTACAGCTTGAAAAGATCGGAAGAGC